GCTCCCAGCAGCAACTGCTGCCCGCTCGGCTCTTAACCCTCTCCTGCCTGCAGTTATGCAGCTAGAGCCGAGAGGTGTGGGGCTGCAGCGAGGATGTGGCTCTGAGAGGCAGCTTGGGCAGCCCCAGGCCCCACAGATTTGCAGAAGTGAGGCCCAGCGTGGGTGATGGTGCCACACAAAGGCTCATCTGTGTGTCCCAGCGCCAAGCGGGGAGAAATGTCTCCCCTGTTGCTTCCCAGCCTGCTGCCTGGCTGGAAAGTCCTCGGGGAGATTAAGCACTGCCTGAGTGGGATCAGACCTTTTTTGGGTGCTCCTGCCTGGAGCAGGGTTTCCCTGCACCCAGCTCATGCTTTTTGCCCCAGGAAATGCTTATTTCTGTGGTGGGGGTGAAATCCCCTTCACATGCGGGGTGGATTGTGAGCAGCTCTGATGCGCATCCCCTGCGGTGGCTGAGGTGGGATCGATCCCGCGTTGACTCCAGGAGCTGTTTGAGCCCTTGACATCAAGTGCTCAGGGCTGTAACTCCCCCAGCCCATCCAAACTCCCATCTGCCTCTGGGCTGGAGCACATCAAGCTGTATCTGTTGGAGCGTATGTGCTCTCTGCTGAAGGCTGCTGGGGTCAGACTCCCAGATCTGCCAGGGCTGGGATGCAGGCTGCGTGCCCGTGCGCAGAGCCCGCGCGCTGGCTTTCTCTGCTCCTGGCTGCAGATGTTAGCAGGTGGCTTGTCATGGTCCTGGAGTTGACCAGTGTCTCCTTGGTCTCTCGTAGTGGCACCGGCTGCCCACGACCCAGGAGACTGATGGCTTCCAAGTGAAGCGCCCCGGCGACGTCAATGTGAAATGCACGCTGCTGCTCATGCTGGATCACCAGGTAGGGGCCCCGGGGCTGCGCGGGTGCTGGCTGTGCCCTGCTGCCCTTCCTCCAGCCCGGCTCGTCTGTGTGGGGAGGTCCGGTGGGGGAAAACAGGCCTGGGCTGGGACAGAGCCTTAATATTGGGCTGTTGCAGGGTCTGTGGGCATAGAAGGGAGCACAGAGTGCTCCAGGTGTGGACCCTGCAGTAACACAAGTGTGTGACACAAGGGCTGCGTGGGGCAGCATGCCCACAGGAGGGGCCCTCACAAGTGCCAGGACCCCTTCAATCCTGCCTGTCCCTGCAGCCACCACAGTACAAACTGGACCCTCGCCTGGCTCGCCTGCTCGGGGTGCACACCCAGACCCGTGCCAGCATCATGCAGGCGCTCTGGCTCTACATCAAGCACAACAAGCTGCAGGACAGTCACGAGAAGGAGTACATCAACTGCAACCGCTACTTCCGCCAGGTCAGCCCTCCCCCCATGGCACCAGCACACTGCTGGGAGGAAAGCACCCTTCCCACCTCCAGTAAGGCCAGAAAAAAGCAGCTTTTCTAGCTTGAAGTGGACACTTCAGACTGCCCAGGCTCTGGCTTGCATCCGTCAGCTTGCCATGCAGAAACCAGGGCTGGGTGATTTTCCTCCCCCTCCTGCCTGGCCCTTTCTGTGACGGGTGGAAGGAGGCCCTGCCATGGACACCAATGCTCTGCTTTGCCCCTCCAGATCTTTAACTGTGTCCGCATGCGCTTCTCTGAGATCCCCATGAAGTTGGCAGGGCTCCTGCAGCACCCAGATCCCATCATCATCAACCACACCATCAGGTAGGTGGGGGAGAAGGTGCTGGGCAGCGTCCCGGGGGGTGGAGGGGCAGGGTACCTCCCCAGCGTGGTGCAGGAGCGAAGGGCAGTACCTGCAGGGTCTATGAGGCCTCCAGCCCAAAGCAGCAGTCAGCACAAGTCACACGAGAGGGGAAGAATCAGCCAAATTTGAGGGCTTCTTGGGGCAGTCAGTGGGGTACTTGCATTGCTGTCAGGGGACCCAATCCGCTCCTGCAGCAGGATGAAGGCTGAGGACATCCCCCTCCAACACCGTTTCCTTGCAGTGTGGACCCCAATGACCAGAAGAAGACGGCCTGCTATGACATCGATGTGGAGGTGGATGATCCCCTGAAAGCTCAGATGAGCAACTTCCTGGCTTCCACCACCAACCAGCAGGAGATTGCCTCCCTGGATGCCAAGGTGTGGGGACCCCTGCGAGGGGCTCAGCCAGGGTGGCTGGTCAAGGCTGCACTGCAGACCTGGGGGGAGCTTGGTGACAGCTGTGTCCCATCCCAGCTGCCTCTCACCCCTTGTCATCTCCCTAGATTCACGAGACCATCGAATCCATCAACCAGCTGAAGACGCAACGCGATTTCATGCTGAGCTTCAGCAACAACCCGCAGGATTTCATCCAGGAATGGATCAAATCACAGAGGAGGGACCTCAAGGTACAACCCCGGGGCTGGGCAGGGTGAGGGGTGGGGTCCAGCTGTGGCACTCACCCCATGTTCCCCCCACCTTGTGCTTTGCTCAGATCATAACGGATGTGATTGGGAACCCTGAGGAGGAGCGGCGAGCAGAGTTCTACCAGCAGCCCTGGGCGCAGGAGGCTGTGGGCAGACACATCTTCGCCAAGGTGGGCTCTGTGCCGCGCTGCAGCAGCTTGGGATGCCAGTGGGGTGGGGGTCCTTGGGGCAGCACCCTCTCCCTGCCTGACTGCCCTTGTCTCCTCCAGGTCCAGCAGCGTCGGCAGGAACTGGAACAAGTGCTCGGGATCCGCCTCACTTAAGGGGCTGGTGGGGGCTCGGGAGCTCCTTCTCTCCCTGCTGCCTGAGCCTGATGGTACTTCTTACTGGAATCAAATACAGCACTTGCACAAACCCTACGTGCCTGGAGGGATTCGGAGCCACTAGCACCCCTGGGCTCCCCTCAGCTGGGAAGCTCTAGCCACAGGCAGAGAGTAGTGGAGGGTCCCCCCAAAGTCCCACTGCAGCCCTTCTGCTGCATTAATGCATCCTGCTTTTTGCATCGTGCCGTTTGCCTCTTCCCCATAGCACTGACTGCAGCCCTCCTGCTCGCTCCCCTCTGGCCAAAAGCCCTCCTGGAGTTGTTGCCCAGCAGGGAAAAGCTGCCCATGCTGACAGGGAGGCACTGCCTGCCCTGCCAGCCCTCCCTGAGCCCAGCTGCCATGGAGGCAGGCCTGGCCCCGCCCCTCTTCAACCCAAGTTTTGTCATTCCAAATGCCAGCCCACCGCCCCCAGCTGGTGCCCAGTGTTTTGCACTATTTTTGTGAACAGGTTTTATAAAAAAAGGAAGCGTTTTGTACAGTGGGTTTGTATTTGATTAATATATTAGAGTTCCTCTTACTGCACTCATTTGCCTCAATCTATGCAGTGGTTCGTGGTATTCTCAGAGGGCTGGCTTGGCCCAAGCTGTTCTTTTTATACGTAACCAAGTTTTTTAGTGTTAAGTTTTGACAATCAGTTGATTACTCCACCCGTGCTATTTTACATAATTAGCAACTCATCTTGTGAGCGATACCAGGTCTCAGGGGGGCAGAGGGGGTAGCTCTATCCCCAGGAGCCTGGGGGCAGCGGGGTCACAGGGGCTCTGTGCGCACAACACCAATCTGGGGGCACCGAGAGAACTGGAGATACTGGTGACCTGGGGACCACAGCTCTGGGGCTGAGGGGATGGTGCCACCACCTGCCAGACCCGCTGAAGTGCCTTAACCCCGCTGGCCCCTTGCCTGCACGCTCCTCCTGCTTGGCCAAGCAGCTCTGCCTCCCTGGGGCAGTCGCAGGCGGAGGGGAGGGGGGCGTTTACATATTCCCAGGGTGTACGGCTCAGGGGTGCCTGCTCTGCCTCTTGTGTAACCATTTTTTTTGTCTATTTTGGATATTTTCTAATAAAACCAGTTAGCAGCAGCTCTGTGTGTGCGTGCTGGAGTCCTGCAGCCCTTTCCCCCAACTCAGTGCACGGGCATGGCCATAGCAGCACTTTATTAGAGACAACGCAGCCCGAGCCTCACCGTTACTTCCACAGCTTCTTGATGGACATGTTCTTCTCACTATCCTTCTGCATCACCTGGGCAGGGAGGAGATGACAGTTGGTTCCCAGCACACAGCCCCCCATGGGGGTCCTAATAACCCCAAAACCCAACTCCAATACCAAGCTTCAGCCCTGGACAGGGAAGGCACTGCAGGCTCTGGCTGTGCACCACAGCCCCAGGAAAGATCTCCATTACCGCCTCAGCCTCTGCTATGTCACTCACATAGGGACAACCCCCTTAACGCTGTGGCTTGTCCCCATAGCCAACACCCCTCAAGCTCTGCAGCTGCCAGGAGATGCTGCCCAGGACAGTTTGTGCCCCCACAAGAAGGAGCTGGTGGTGGAGGAATTCGCCTGCCCCACGGCACTTACCTTGGCAACAGCCATTTCAAAGTCTTCTTGTGTGACATGCACTCGCCTCTCCCTCAGCGCATACATGCCAGCTTCTGTGCACACCCCCTGCAAGGGACAGGGACATCACCCACTGCTCTCCCTCTGCCAGCCCCCATGACCCTGCAGTGCCCCCGGATCACCTTCACTTCTGCGCCCGACGCCCCTGGCATCAGCTCCGCAATCTTCCGCAGGTTGATGCCCCGCGTCAGGTTCATTTTCCGGGAGTGGATCTTGAGGATGTCCAGACGGGCCTGGAGGAAAACAGCAGCAAAGTGAGGGCTGGAGCCACAGCAATCGCTCCCGGAGAGGGTTGGGGACAACATGCTGTCCCCCTCCAGGACAAAGACAGCAGGGGACCAAGGGAGAGCCAGGGCCTGCCGTGGGGCACCCCACCTACCTCCTCGTTGGGAGGGGGAAACTCAATCTTCCTGTCAATGCGGCCAGGGCGCAGCAGAGCCGAGTCCAGGATGTCGATTCGGTTTGTGGCCATGATCACCTGCACGGGGAGAACAACTGTCACCACTCCTGGCGGGACACTGCCCTGTCCCCAGGCAGGGATGGCACCCTTCTACCTTGATGTTCTTGGTGGCCTCAAAGCCATCGAGCTGGTTGAGGAGCTCCAGCATCGTGCGCTGCACCTCGCTGTCCCCACCAGAGCCCCCCTCCAGGCGGGAGGAGCCAATGGAGTCAATCTCGTCCATGAAGATGATGGAGGGAGCATGCTCCCGGGCCATCACAAACAGCTCCCGCACCATGCGGGCACCTGCGGAGACCAGAGAGGGCTGAGCCCTGGCACTGTGCACAGCTCAGCACATCCACAGCGCTTCCATCTGCCCAGGGCACCACACGAGAGGCCTGTCTCAAGGCCACCCAGCACCACAAGAGCCCTCGCTGGGGCTCCAGCGCAAGCAGCTGCCTCTCTCGCACCCTTTTACCTTCACCGATGAACTTCTGCACCAGCTCGGAGCCTGAGACACGGATGAAGGTGCAGTCAGTGTGGTGGGCCACAGCCCTGGCCAGCAAGGTCTTGCCTGTGCCGGGGGGTCCGTAGAGCAGCACACCCTGCAACAGTCACACGGAGACCTCAGCACCCCTGTCTGTACCCGCACAGGAAGACACACCCCGACAGGAGACACAGGAACCCCCCTCAGGGGTGACAGAGGAAGCATCACAGTGGCACTGTAGCACCCCAGAAAACTGACCCCCACTGCAGGCCCACAGCACCAGTACTTGCCTTGGGCTGAGCAATCCCCAGCGCCTCAAAAAGCTCAGGGTGCTTGACCGGCAGCTCGATCACTTCCTTGATCTCCTTTATCTGCTTGTCCAACCCTCCAATCATCTCATATGTGGAATCCGGAACCTTCTCCACCATCATCAGGGACACAAGAGGGTCCACTTTGTTTGGCAGGATCTTGTGCAGTGTGTAGCTGTCATTGCGCAGGGCCACACGGCAGTTCGGGGTCACCTGCAGCAAGAGCAGAGGGGAGTTCAGTATCCCCGCGACTGCAAAGGGGTCAGGCAGCGCCAGGCTGCCCAAAGGGAGCAGTCACGTCCCCTCCCTTGGCCCCAGGACACTCACATCATTAATGTCGATGTTCTTGTCCACGTCCACCACAAACTTCCCCTCCGGGTGCACCTGGAAGGCAGAAGTTGCCACCGTGAGAGTTATTTCTCTGAGAAGTCCCCTGTCGTGTGCCCAATATCCACACCAGCTACTCAGAGCAGGAGGAAGGAGCCAGAGAGCTCAGCCACCGTCAAACACGCTGCAGCCCCTCCTGCCCCCAGGAAGCTCTAAGCCAGATGCCTCCCACCTACCTGGGGAAGGTTTGGGCACAGAAGAGCTTCCTCAACATGCCTCTCTGGAGAAAAAGCTCTTGTTTCACATCTTTCAGTTGCTACATCCCTCCAGAGCTCATGCTCACACTTGCCCCAACCCCCGTGGGGTCAAAGCGAGGGTCTGTCTGACCCCAAATTCCTCACCCCTGCTCTGCCCCAGGCCTGGTCACCCTCGGGACAGTTCAGCCTCGTACCTTGACAAGCACTTTCTTCTTGTCCATGGCTCTCACCACCTCTCCCACATAGGAGCCCTGCTCCTGCAGCAGCTGCAGCTCCTCCCGCAGCAGACGCACTGTGTAAAGGGGGACATCAGCACCAGCCACAGGCACCCAAGCCCAGACCCCCGCCCACAACAGAGGGGCAGCACTCGCCACGGTGGCCAGCAGCCAGGCCAGGAGCTACTAGCCCAGCAGGTAGGGCCAGCCACAGAGCCCTGAGTGAGAAAGATGAGAGGAGCCAAGCCACACCTTTAGCGTTCAGCTCATTTCTCTGTGCTTGCAGGCGCCGCAGATTCTGGCTCTTCTCATTCACAATGAGCTGTTGGGAGAAAAGCTTTGCTGAGTCCTCCATGCCCCATGCAAAGCTCACATCAACTGAGCATGGGCACCCACACAATGGCCTCTGTCTCAGGACAGGCACCTGGAGAGATACAGCCCTTCCCAGCAGGACATGGCCAGCCAATCCCCACTGCCAAGGCCTGGACAACACCTCACGCGCGCACACACACAGAGCAGTGCTGTCAGTTTGTAGAACTGAGACTCATCTTGTACATCTGCACCACTCAAAAGTTGAGTCCCACTTGTAGGTACTGGGGTACTGCTTCTTCCTCACACCTCAGAACAGGGCACCCACAGTACAGAAAAGGCTGAGGGTGCTTTCGAAGCAAGCACAAGCATAGGTACACAGCCACGCAGTTCCAGCTGGAACCACAGCGATGTCATTCCCGGGGCAGGCTAGCTGCCCATCTCCTGTGCAGCCAGGACTGGCTCACCTGCAGCTCCTCGATCTTGGACAGGTAGTACTGCCGGAGACCCGTGCCGCCTTTCCCATCATCCATCTCCATCTGTGAGAGAGCAGAGCTCAGCAACACCGGCCTTAGCCCCAAGGGCCTCCCACTCCCCACCCAGAGCCTCGAAAACAATATCTACTCTCGGTCAGTCTCTGTGTTGATTCTCTAATCCTCATTTCCCCTTCCAACCTCCCCGGGTCAGGTCCTGGGTCCCCGCTTTCCCTCCCACCCACCTTCTGTCTCCCCGGGCCAGTGTTCAACAGCAGTCCCCAAGCTCCCGTTCCCCTGTGAGTCTCACCATTCCCACACACACCCCTTCTTCCTACCCTCTCCCGGAGCCTGGTCCTGCATCCCCCAAGGCCTG